ACTGCAGTACAACGATTTTCATCCACTCTCATCTGGTGAGATCGACAAACGAATCTCTTCTTCATGCACTTTCATTCGAAATGCAGGTCCCCCTAACAATGTTATCTCAGGAGATTCATCGAAACCAAGTTTCACTTCCTATCCCCCTAACAAAGATAATCGTTTGGTTTAAACAGACGAGTGGAATGGGACTAGTAAAGTTGCCTCATCGGAAGTCGAAGAAAGATTTCCTAAGAGTTGTGAGATCCGATTTCTTCGACTCAGTATTCGGCGCACTATTTAAAGACCCCGGGCTAAGCTATCAGCTGTAACGTGGCAGACACCATCAGAGCATGAAACCGTGGCTAACGATAATTGACCCAAAACACGAAGGTTAGAAAGTTGGCCGGCTTCAGACCTACTTCCTTCTTATATTCCAATTTGGTCCACTTATGCATCTCATGTTTTGGTTGGATGTCCTATGCTTTGCCTCAATATTCGCACATAAGTTAAGTTAAGTGGCTGCGGATGAAGCGTGAAATGGGTACAAGTGAAACTGAACAGAGGCATCCTCCCCTAAAACACTTACGCCCTTGATCCTGCCGTGTTACCGCATGTGATTGTGTCCCATTACACACATGTTGTGTGAGTGCCTTGCTATTGAAATGAGTGTGATGGGAGAGTCAAAAGCAAATTCCAGCCTAATCAAGCCTCCTTGTCTTGTTCGGTGGTACTTCTCGTTCCCCCCTCTCGCTAAAGGAGGGATAGGTTTAGAAAGATATAGAGCGAGGGGGGGGGACGAGAAGTGCTACCGAGCAAGAGGAAGAGGCTTGATTTCCGTCACATGATGGACGAAAGATCAGCAAGGATTCATCGGGTTCGTAGTGCGGTGCGCAGAGAACCTATCCGCACAAATCTACAACCACAGCTCCAAGTCAGCCCCCTCCAGTCTCTGGTGGAACCAACTTACGAATCCCTTCCTCTGACCTCTTCAAACGAAATTAAAGGTACTTCATCATCAGTAGAAAATGCTTGTTTAAGCCTCTATTTCGCATAAATTACAACAGCTTTTATTTCCGGTGTTTATTAATTAATGCTAAAGTAACTGGGTTTCGATAAATCTCCCGAGGAAATAATGTTGGGGAGACTTTCATTTCGTATGAAGGTGCATGAGGAAGAGGTTCGAAGGTCGATCTCACCAAAAGACGACTGCTGATTCCCGTTGCAATGCAGCCGTTTGGTTTTAATAAGACGTTTAGGTTGACTTAGTCCAGGAAACCTTTGTCGTTTCGAGTGAGAATGGGCTGAGCTTTCGTCCATCATATGAAGAACATCATCAGAGCTGGAACACATTCTCGTAAAATTCTCAAGTTAACGCCAGGTCAAGAAGTTGGCCTGGCCTTATCTTACCTCTTATTTATTCTTATTAACAAAAAATGAAAATGTATAGGGATGCTTTGACTAATTATATTTCACACTGGTTATGATACTTTTACTTGATTGTGTGTGTCTGTGTGTTAACTCCTATACGCAATAGTGATCCTAAATCAGGAGGATTTGAAAAGCCTTATGCCAAGCCCGGGTCATCAAGGCTTAACGATTCAAAAAAACCCGACTAAGATTGCCCAAGACCGTAAGCATCTCTGGTTGAGATAATAAGGTGTAAGCTTGTACGTGTGTAAGTCAGCTCACGAAACTCCCTGTCATAACCTGTCCATCAAGGATCAAGAAAGACATGGCATGTAATTGCGCAATCGCGTGCGTCTGGTCAGGTTGATGAGTTTAATCTAACATGTTGGATGAATGTGAATGAGCTTAATAATATATTTTTTTTACAAGTGGGTTGACCTCGTTGTCGCAACTTGGTCTTGTTGTCAAGGCGACTTAGTTGAACGCACCTTGTCCGAAGTCGTCTGCCATAGTAGTTATCATAATTCCCAGTATCAGACCGTGGAATTGGTACATTCTCAGACGTTTCGCCGGCATCGCAGTCGGCATCATCAGTGAGTTCTGCCAGTCTCCCCACCAAGCTACGAACTTGTCAGAGACAAGGTGAGTCAATCCCCCTACCACCAAGCTCTGACAACAAGAGCAAGTTGCGAAAACGAGGTCAACCTATTTTTTTACTCGAAACGGGACTGCGACGATATCGTGGGCCACACCATCTTGGTCTTCATATCTTCGAATGCATTATTTTGTTCGATTCATTCAGTTGGCCATCTGTAGAACAAATACATGCGACAAACAACATGTCATTGCTTCGAATTAACCTGTAATTCAGGCTGAAAAGGGTCAACCGAGTGCCAAATATTAAGTGTAAAAATGTCCAACTATTCTGTTCTCCTGTCAGGTTTACTTCTCGCCAAATAAGTTCATCTTCCACTGCCACCGACCCGAGGAGACCGGCCTCCTGCCTGGTGCGGATTATCGGCATCCAGACGCGGCCAACTTCAACGCTTGGCGACGCCATCTCTACCTTGTGGATCCAACGCCGTCACGAGAGCTTATTTACGCTTGGGAAGACGTAAAGGCGATGTTCAATGGAGGCAACCGGAAGCGGTCTCTGGTTGCCTGTAGCCCCAGTGGTGGTGGTGGTGATGGTGTTGGTGATGGTGTTGGTGGAGGCAGTGGGGATGGCGGTGGTTCAAGTCTATCCCAAGAATTGACAATCTGC